CACTTATCCCCCCAAAAATGTATTTCCCTTGTGTGTAATACTGTACTGAAGACGTGGTGCTTTAAAAATAGATTTTAAAAGGGTAACATTATGAAAGAAATAGTTCTAGCAAGATGAAGCATTAGAGAGATTTGCTAATCCAAGTGAGAAGCAGAAACTAAACATTGTTTTTTGAGAAAATACCATGGTATGCTTATTCTTTATGATTTACATGACAAATGCCAAATACTGGAGAGAAAACTCAAGCAATGCTCAGTAGGAAGACGTGACTCCTTGATAATTAAAATATTCTATTTTAAAATAGAAAGCATATGTATCCTAAATATTAAAACATTAGAATTTAACAGCATCTTGAGAAATTATTTGAACATTGTTAGCTGTATCTCACTTTTCAGAAAAGAATCCATAATCCAGTTATGAAAAAAAAAGTAAGTTACAGTTATGTTTTTTCTTGTGACAACTGGATGTGATTCGGTGTAAACGCTATCTTATTCCTCCAGACTTCTACTTGTAACAGCTATGCCCCAGCTATAACATTTTAAAATAGAAACTATATAATTCAATTATAGTTTGTTGAAACTAATGTTTTTGCTTCAGCAAACACCCTTATAGAAGAAAAGCCTTTTAAAAAAATCATGTGTTCTCAGAAACAGTAAATATATCAGTAAAAGATGGAAACAGGCAATATGAAAAAGGGGTAATCAAAATTTTTGAAAAGAAAAAGGCTACATATCTAGAGAGCTCTTTTTCAGTACTCAGAACCTTAAAGGTACTAGAAAAGGACTGCGGTTCATCTCAAGTCCTTGTGCCAAGCATTCAATCTGAAAAGCTTTGTGCAATTACTGTACAGCTAGAAACAGGGATTTTTAAAGTTAGGCAAAATCCAAAACTACTAGGTAATGCAAATTCTACAGGACAACTATCAAGACAACTGTTATTATGCAGGTTACTACAGGAAACATTATGAGATAAATATATTCCCCAAGCTGTGCAAACCACACTCCTAATAACGACCGCTTGGGTATTTAGTTTTTTTTCAGAAATATCTTACGCAATTTCTCAAGGCACAGCTACATCAAGTGCTGAATTTGAACACTTCCTTTCAAACATTTTTCAAAGGTGTTTTCTTTTGGGGTTTATTTTTTGGGGGGTGGTTGTGGTGGTGTTTGTTCGCTTTTTTATTTTTTCCTGTGTTCTGTTAGTGGAAGCCTTTAATTCAAAGCTTGTCTTGAAAATTGTTTTCTGCACATACAGAGGAAAACACTGGTCTGACTATTTTTCTGAAGCGGAAGTAAAGCATTACAGACTTTTATGTTTTACTACTGGTAAGAATGAAATTTTAAAGTAATTCTTAGTAAAAACACATTACTGCAAGGTCAGACCCTTAAAACATCTAGTCCTGTTTCACAGGCTGGTTTCATCAAATCTTCTCATCTTTGAACACCAAATCTCACTTTTGTGTTTCAGAATGCACAGCACTCCGCACCATTACAAACTTCGTCAGTAATAATTTACTTAAAAAGAATTCCCAGCACTAAGGATATCAATAAAACCCAGAACTAGAGCATAAAATTGAAAAGACAGTTACACAATTCTGTGTGTGCTTGCTGCCCCAGCTCACTGCTATACATCTTCACATCAACCTAATTCATTTGACACACAGTCTCCCCACAGCTGAGAAAGCCCAGCTTCCTTACTAGTTCTTAGTAAAAGCTTAAATACAAACCCCACTATGCTTAAGTAAAGTTAAGATTGTGACAAAAATCAACAAAAGGCAGGAAATTCAAGGACAGTACTGACAATCCATGCTTAATTCATGATTGCTTAACAAAAGGGCAAAATGCTATGAGGAACTAATGTTTAGCTTTAACTTCACTATGTTCTTGGGTGAACAGGTGTTTATCTCAAAGATTATACTAATTCAGTCCAACAGTTCAGACAAATTCTAGCTATTATTTAGCATTTAACAATGTGTTGGATGTAAAGAAACTGTTAAACTAATTGTCAGCATCCTAGCATGTTAGACTCTAACAAACATCACTGATTAAAAATACATTTTGAGAAAATCATGCTAGACAAACATAAAGACATAATAACATAATTTCTTTCAGAAATAAACAAAACATTTTTTGTAAACAAAAATTATTCATTTTCTAATGCAACATGAAATAGAGCAATATATATATTTTTCTCACAAGTTAAAAACTCTCAGTATGTTCAATTCCTCTTTGAATCCTAATCTGTCTGGTTTTTTGCACACTATAAAAAACATTTGCTTGATCAGAAAAATGTCAGAGAAAGGAATGCAGCCTATGGCCGCATTATTAGGATGTAGGTTTTTTAATTAATCTTTTAGGCTCCAAAATAAAATTTAGTATTTTAGCATGCTTTAGAAATACTAATTAGATACAGACACGTCTGCCTGGTAGTTTTGCATGCTGTCTTATGTAGAAATCAGAAAAACAGAAGAATGATATGAATAAAATGACTGAGATCGCACTTCACAGTCTTCTCCAGAGGACATGAAATTACCTCATGCATACATACTTTATTGCGTTATTGCAGCAATAATACCTTACTGCAATTAACTGTTACTAATAACAGTCTTTGCTGCAATTATTTTCTTTATTTATTGCAATTATTATTTTTAATGTCTCAAATTATTACAAATTTTGTAGGAAATAACATTTTTCCAATTGAGTTACTAAGCAATCATGATCTTTTCCCAGACGTCAAAATTCTGCTAACTTTTGTAGCATCAAAAACTGCTGTTCATCTGCTTCAAAGAGGGCTTTCAAAATCCTGCATCTGTACTTCATCAGACTTACAAACCTGGCATCAAGATTTTAATTGTCAAAGCAAGGACAACTATGTGTTTCACCCTCGGGATTACCAAAGAAAAAAAGCATAGCTGTCACAGAGCTTCAGTTCTTTGTGGAGCCTGAACAACTGTGCATGTGGAGATGTAAGTCTTTGTAAGACCATGGGACACACCTACAAGGTCCCGCAAGAAGTCAGGCATGTGCTTCTCAGCTGATTTCCTCTACTTGACCAAATACAAAGGTGCAGAGTACATAAGGGCTTAAAAAGCCTCTGAGGAGGAGAATGGCTACTCTTCTCCCTCTGAGAAGAGAGGTAGGTTCTTTGATAAAGGAAGTTCAGCAACAAACTGAGCTCACAGCACAGTAAGGGGGGTTCACTTTTTTAACTTAACAGCACCACAAACAAATGTGGGAAAGTCTTCAACTGAAGTACCAGCAAATTAATGAAAAAGGAAGAAAGGAAAAGGGCTCCACCCTGCAACACTCTTGTTAAACTAATTAATATTAACTTCCTATCACATTTTTAATCTAGGGCAAAGTTTTGGCTTTCTAAGAAACCATAAATTATGCTTAAAAATTCTACTTTGTTACAGTTTGTTTTGCATTTTCAGCTCAGATATCAAAAGCAGAATTTATTTGTCACGCTCAGATATGCTGAAGATTACAGTGCTAATCAATTAGTCAATAATGTATCAAAAATCAGGTGGTATCATAGCTACCTTGCTGGATGTCTTACTGATCCTTAACAGCAAAAAGAGTAACATCTTTAAGTGAACTGTAAAAACTAGTACCAACTCTATCAATAGAAAATGTTCTCAAAGTCCCAGTGATGCTGAGTGACTGCAGGAACCAAAATATTTGTGACAGGTGAATCTCAGTACACAGAAATCAACAGAATCTTAGGTTGGACAAAGCTGATCGGCCAAATGCTATATATATTCTCCACTCATTCATTCTGTGAAACACACTGCCTACTTTTCATCCAGCCATGGACACTTCCTTTTCTCTCTCTCCATTCTTTCACAAGTAAAGGTTTCCTTATCCTCAGTTTCTTTGCTTCAGCTTCTCAGTTTTTTCCCTACTTTTGGGAGAAATCCTGTTTTCCTCTCAGTAACTGCAGCGAATGAAGAGCGAAATCTATCTGAGAAATTATTGATCCTCAAGATGTGGATCCCATTATTCCCATGATAATTCTTTCTACATGGGCTGTTGAAGTCAGAAGGGATAAGAGTAAGGCTGGTAGATTTCTAATACACAGACAGAATAGACAAGTCTCTCTCATGCTACAGCAGTGGCAATAAGCACCTTCGTTATGCACAATGCAAAATCAGTGACTTGCAAAATTTGAAGAGGAGAATAAAAGAATGAGTTTGTGGCCACAAACTACATCAAAGTAATTTATTACTTTGACATAGTAATTCGTTATTAAAAGCTATAGAGCATAAAGTTAAAATATTAATAATAATTAAAAAAAAGTGAATGAGAAACAAAATCTGAAAACCTGATGTGACCATCTCAAATATACAGTGAAATATATCCTAGTGAAATTCAGGTATGCAGGTGGGAGACAGACATTTCAGATTGTGGTCTTATTTTGAAGTCAATATCTTACTTGAAAAAAAAAACAAATAAGATAAAACAAAGCAGCCTTTGTAAACACAAGCAAGTGCTAAGAATTTTTCCTATTCTAAATACAAAATATGTCTCTCTCTATGGCCTGTCAGATAGGATATTTAATTCCTCAGGTGCTCCTCTCTATTTTATCACAACAGCATTTTTAAGGGATCATCAAGTTCATTCAAATTTCATGGCCTACAATAGTCAATCAATCTCCATTCTTATTTGCTTAGTTATGCTTTTACAGCATCTAGAAATGCCTATTTTTGGATTTTCTACCAAATGCTCTCCTGGTCTCCAGGATAATTCCAAGGGGACTGTACCCAGACTACCCAGTAACTGCCAATTTGATAAGGATATTTTGCAGCAAATACATACATTGACTTTCACACTTCTAATCACATGTATTTTTAAGCATGTCAACCACTTTTTGTACATTTCCTGTTTTTATGGATAAAGGTTAGAAATTTTTTATCTCTACATTTCCAACACTTTCTATAAGAGTCCCTGTGAACTCCCGTTCAATATTCCCAAAAAAAAAGATATAGGTATATTACATACCATAGTCAGTGATCTTACAGGATACTAAATACAGTTCTTTCAGGTTCCGTCCTTCTCTGGCAATGACCTCCACACATCTGGAAGACACACGGCATAAAACTACTGTTAAAAGACAGTAAATAATTTTTAAATAGCAAGAGCACAATCCACAGGTGTAATGTACTGTATCTCAATTTCTTTATTTTGTAAATTGCTCCGAATTTTCTAAATTATTTTCTAAATTGCTGAAAATGCATATGGCTACGGGTATACACTGCAGAAAAACAGTGCAGTATTTTAAACTGAACACCTTTATATGAATATTTTCATAAATCTATGAATAGTGACTTGCTTGAAATATATACAGACAAGTCTTTTGGAAAATTACGAAAATGTGATTTTCCATTTCTTTATTACTGTATAACTTCAGAAAGTTTCTATTGCAAATTTCAAACTTTAAGAGTTTTCTTCTAGGGAAGAACTGTAAATGCACTGTAATGAGCACAAAATGTAAGAAAATGTAATGCTAAATTCATGTTTGTATTTCTTCAGTGATTACTGCATGAGTCAGCGTTCACCAGGGCCTGAAATGCGCTTGGTGTTCCAATATATTGCTAGAGAAGTTTGTATAGATGAGAAGACTATGAGAAGCTCATTTATTTACGTTATCACAGCTGTGATGAATATGCAATGAAACACAGAGTTTATGTTAATCTTGTTTTTTGATTTCTTGTAAGCAAGAAAATTATTATTAATTAATTAATGAAATGAAATATGAGCTTATTACGTACTTGTGGCCAAGCCTAATGCTGTGTTTCCAACTGCATTGTTTATAGCACATCACTCAAAAATCATAGATTCATAACATATATTTTCAGTCCCAATAACATTGACCAGCTGTTCATTAGATCAAATAGCATGACTACTGTGCTATTTTCTACATAGACATTTTTAAAAGTGTATTTTACTGGATAAATTGTCTGTATTTCTTCTGATCCAATATATTCAACTTTAATTTTCAGGTCAATTACCCAATCACCTACTCTGACTCTTAAATCAACCCTGGTACAGTACACGAAATTAAATTACTTGTCAATTTCTAAGAAAACAGGTATTGCTGAATGTGTCATAGTTTGAAAAATACACCTACATCCTCAGGGACCTTTTCCTTTCATTTAACACCACCAACAGATTATCTCCCAATCTGATTTAACTGTTCATGCTGCCAATTTTAGGTTTTAAAAGCAACCACCTAATTCTGACAGTTTACAATAGGAAATAACTGAACAACAGTCCTTCACATCTATTCGTCCACACTCTGCTTCCTTTTTCTAAAATATACAATGAAAATTCACTAATAATAATAAAACAGCACACCTCTGACAGAGTACCTTAATCATAGTTCCTGTAACACTATTATAAATTTTCAACCCTTGACAACTGTGAGGGCCTAATATTTAGCAACTTTTTGCAATGCTTGTCGTTGGGAAAAGGTTCCCTTTCTTTACAAATACACAAAGAAAGGAAAGTAATATTTAGCACAATAACTTCTGACAGGGAAGTAAAACAGGGTGAACCTCCAGATTCTATACTTGTTTAAATCCATAACTTTTCTGCTAAGAAAATTAGCAAGCATGACACTTTTCTTTTAGAAACTACACCAGGACTATGCTTTTAAATACAAAGTAACTCAGAACTATATGTTCCATCAGGTTATTTTCCTAAAAAACTGACCAAGATTTAGAGCATTTAACACATTCTGTGTACATGAAAAACTTCTGTTCCCGTAAGACATAATTTTGAAGAACACACTCATCTTTGTTAACTGGTTTATTGAGATAACTAGACCATGAGGAATTTTTTTTTAATTATTTATTCCAGAAAAATACTTCCTAATAATGAGATTTTATTGCTAATATTAGTAATATAAATAAATAGAAAATCATTATAATGTATTTTACTAGGAGTATTTTCATTAGACATTTCAGCAAATATAATTTGAAAAGTCAATATTGAGGTTAAAAGAAGCTTTTATTAATTCTTATCATATAAATCATTTAGCAGAGTAATGATGCTATGAAACACTTTGGATAAAAATTCTGAACATAGAAAAATTTTTTGAAATTTTTTTCTAGTGGCTTTAAAAGTTTTCAAATTATTTTTGATAATTTTTACTTACTGAGAGACCATTAATTTAACAAAAATTATATTGCAGTATAGCAGTCAGTATCTAAAAATACAACCACAAGACAGTCAAGATGACATAAAAGACTACCTAATTTTCTCTACAAGCTCAGTTACACACCTTTTCAATCAGTCAGGGTCAAAGTTGTATTGCCTGTGCAAATGCAAAAGTATTTGACTGTGTGGCCTTTATAATTGTATTCTTTAATCCTTCCAAGTACAACCAGCTCTAAGGGTTAAAGTTTTTTCAAGTGGCTTGAGTGACTCCAATCCTGTTCTCAGTGACATCCTCAAGTCTAAATGAAGTACAGTTCACTTTCTGCTACTGGGAAAAGAAAATCTTCAGAATCTTCAGCTATCTTCATTAAACAGGAAAAAAAAAAGAAGAAAGAGAAAAAAGGCAAAAACAGACCTTTGACAGCCTCATTTCCTTTTGTTTCTTGAAAATATTAAAATCACCTAACATCTAAAAGGATGAGGTAATGACACATCTAGTTTGGAGAAAAAAGAAAAATATATATAGCTGAAATACTGAATCTATGGCCCCCACAGCGTGCCTGCAGAGCTCCAGGGACCCCAACCCCTGGGTCCGGCCATGGTTGGCCCCCGCCCTGGCCCTGGCAGGAGAAAGGAGGGAGAGGGGAGCCTCGCTGGAGGGTACTGCGCCCCTGTGGAAGAGGAGAGGGGAGCTTTGGAGCACACAGAGGTTTGCTGTTCCAGGTTTAAGGGAGGGGAAGGGTGTCGAGCGGGCCATGGGGGTTCTCAGACTGGTGGGAATGCGAGCGGGGCAATCCTGTATGAAATGTTGCAGGTGAGCAGTGCACCTGTAGATATGCGGCAACACAGTGGGGTAAGGATAAGGTCAGGGTGGATAATGGGTTCTTTTAGAATGTTGGGGGTCCCGGACGGGCTGGGGCCTTGAAAGGCACCCCAGCCTTGGATGGGTACGGGGGCCAGAACGGTTTGTCTGTTTGTTAGGTTTTGGTTCACCTGCGGCTACTGCCCAGGTTCGGCATGTTCTGGATATATTTGCTTTGCTTTGTTACATCCTGAAAGGGTGGGCAGGACAAAGGGTTGTTCCTGGGTATTTCACTGAGACTGTATATAGATAGGTGATAGCAAAGTAGGAAATGTAAGATATGCCCGAATCGTTCTAATAGGAATGAAGCCTGTGTACCCCACGTGGTTGCGAGCTACACTGGCGATGGTACATGCCTTCGGTAGGGTCGCCCATGCCAGACAGGTCAAAACCGTAGGACCAGATACACTACATTCTTGGGCAGGATGAGCTCGTTAGCCTTCTGGCAGTCATCCTAGGAGAAGGACAACTCTAATCCCAAAGCTGGGCAGATGGAGCTTGCTTAGCCCTGTAAGGCCATCCATCTAAGAGAAGGTCACTCTAATTAAACCTACGTCCTGAGGACCTCACTGCCACCATCCAAGCTTGCTCAGCCCTGGCAGATGAACCTTAGGATTAAAGGGTGGGTTCAGTTCCACGCATACTGCACCTCACCTAAAAACTCCATTGCGCAGGCTTGAAGGCTTTACCCACATGCAAAAAGTCCTGTAGTGACGGGTGAGGGTCGAAACGGCAGGTGAAAGGTGCACTGGGAGCCGCAGACCCAACCCTGCATGCAGGCGGTTCAGGATATTGGTCATTTGAGACTGACCGGAGATGACAGTCTCTTGAGGCAGCACCCTGAACGACCAAGCAGCCTTTCCAAGGACAGCACTGCTTGCTCCACTCGGAGAGGGGCCTAGAAAAGGTGGCCTAAACAAAGCTCATCTCCACCTTCACCCGGTTGGTTAACCGCAGGCCAACGGGCATCTTCCTCCAATGCGGTCGCACAAAGATCAAAAAACAAAGGCATGTACCTGTCTCCAAAGGTGTACCTAATTAACTATGTGCCTTTTGCAACCGGACGTGTCTATCTCATATTGGCCTTTTTAGCCACCAACGGGCTTGCAACAAACGCAGGTAGTGCCCTTCCCAAATCTTTGTTTGCAAAGCCTAGCCACGATGATGACTGAATCTATGGAGTTTTTTGTGTGCTTTCTATACCTTGCATCAGTCAATCTAATTCCAGTTTTAATTTCTATTATCCTTTCTATAGATCATCCCCATGTATATCAACCTGCAGAGACAGAAGAAACAGTTTACATGGCCTTATCAGTCTCTGCTTTGTAGAGGGTCACACAATACATAATTGCTACTAACAACTGACTTCTTTACAACCTAAGGAAAAGTAAGAGTAGTTGTGTATTTATTACTTTTACCTTTTAACCTTTGTTAAATATGACAGCAAAGAAAAAGGTTAAAAGAACAAAATGAAATTAACCTTTTCTAGAAAACAAGGACAATCTTAATTCTGTTGTAATAATCCATCAAAATGATGTCAGATTATTGTCATAGCTATCATTGGAAGTATTTATATTTACAATGTTGCTCAATTAGACAACAAAGAAGCCTAACCTAAAAAAAAAATAAAAAAATCAGCATTATACTGGTAACCAAAAGAGGCAAAGTTATTATTTAAAGCAGTGGCAAGTTACGGAAGTGAGCAAACCAGAAAATTGAACCCCACGAAAGCTGGAGACTAACATGGACATGGTGGCAAAAGCTGTGTACCAAGGCTAAAAGAATTTTTTAAATCTCTTCACTCAAGATTACTGAACAGGCTTTTAACAGCTGTACAAAATGTATTAAAATATAAACAATCTTCCAAAAAGAAAAGAGACTTTCACACTCGAAATAACTTATTACCAAAAAATAGACAAGGGTTCACTAGCCAAGGAATAAAGAAATAAAACTATAATTAGAACTTTGATAATATACACGCCTGGATCAGAGATGGCCAAAGTTAAAATTTCTTCACTTCCTTCTTTGTAAATGAGTATCATTTAGAACCATATA